CTTCTCTAACTGGTGAGTTTCTAGGCAGCCTTCAAGATCCAGTTCAAACGCTGTCCGTTTGATGACACCTTCCCTGGGCAGCTTTCCCACCTCCACCCTCTCGGTTCTCCCAGGACTTGGGCCATCCCTCTAAGTCCAGCAAAGTCTGCTTACAAGTCTGCTTGCTGGGCTCTTGGTGCTTTATACAGTGCTTGGCATACAATAGGTAGTTAACCACGTGAGGGAGAAAGGAGAGGAGAAAAGAAAGAAGGAAAAAAGAAGAGTAGGTTGGAGAAAGGGAGAGAGGAAGCATCTGACTCAACTTCCCTTGGCCAAGAAATAGGGAAATGGATTTAAAAATAAAAAACTCTGGGGGAAAGGGGCTTCAAGGAATAAACATCTCTTCTGAATCCTCTCTGTCTCAATTTTCTATCAACCACTTCTCTCACAACTTGGAATCTCACGCCACAACCGTACTATTTTGACTCCTGATCCCTCAGCTCACCCAAAGAAAAGGAAGGGTGCCTTCTTCCACCTCGCATGCATACTCTCAAGCCTCTAGCAGCCCTTTTCTCCCAGGAGCACCTCCCTCCTCGGCCCCTCCTCATCTTTCCCAAACACAACACTTGCACCTCATCGCCCTGGAGGGCCCACCACATGGCTCAGGGCCCTGTGCTGTCCAGGTCCAGATGGGAACGTCTGCTTCTAGTGGAAACCAAGAGGCTCTCGGGGTGGCCTGCAGTGTCTGGGCTGGAGAAATACAAGACAGGGCCTACAAAGGTACCTGAGAAAGAATATCATCACAAGGGTTTAACATTCCAGGGATGGGAGAGAAGAGAGGAACACGTGCTTGGAAAGTGAAGGACTGAACAATTAGCAATTTCCTCCCACATCCACAAACTCTTTCATGGATGGCCTTTCCACATTTTCCCCTTGGTCCATGGGTCAGAATCATTTTCTGTCTTCTCATGGCCCCTGTGCTTTGGCAACTGGAGCTTCTTGACTCTCTCCCCAATCAGATGCACCTTCCATGTGGAGAATCCATAAGCCTTGTAGGGTTGCCCCTGGGTTTCTTCTCCTTACCCAGGTATTCAGCAGCCTCAACACCCCAACTTCCCCAGTACCCCTTCCCCAGGAGTTCTGGAACCACCTTTTCCTCAATGGAGATCATATATTCAGACGCAGTTTATGAGCTGTAAGGCACTGTGTGAGGATAAAATCCTATCAAGAATAAAGCCTTCTCTTTTCTCCCCCCATATTCTCTGACCTTCCTTCATGTCTTATCCCTTGCTCCCCCTACACACTGCTGCTCTCTCCTCACCCAGCAGGCTTGGTTTGGTGCTGGGTGGGAACCAAAGCTATGTGCTTCACAGCAGGCAGTGTCAGGGTGCAGGCAGGCATCTCGGCCCGAGGCCTTGGCAGAGTGCCCAGGCAGAGCCATCGGCCCAGGCCAGGACAATAGGCATGGATGAGGTGGGAGAGGGCATAAGTACGGTGACTGTAGCCCCCCAGAACCAGTATCTCCCCCTGCAGCACGGCACCTGCAGCTCCCACATGGGGGGAGGGCAGGGGTGCCAGATGAGTCCAACTATCAGTCCTTGGGTCATAGGTCTCAAAGCTCAGCAGGTCCCCAGTCTCACCTAGACCACCTGCTACATATAATCGCCCACTCAGAGCAGCCATGACATGGCCAGCCCGAGGTACCCCCATAGGGCTTAGAAATGTCTCTGGCTTCTCAAGTTTGGGGTCATAGTGCAGCAGCGAGGCCAGGTATTGTCCTGTCTCACTGCAGCCACCGCTCACGTACAATCGGCCTTCCAAAATGGCAGCTGCATGGGCAAAGCATGGTATCGGAAGTGCAGGTGCTGGCCTAAGAAAGAACAGGACACAAGACCATGCAACTAGCATCTGCAGCTGTCCTTCTAGACCAAGTCTTTTAGTCTTCCCCCAATTCCCCTTGCCTGCTCACCTCCAGAGGTTGAGCTCAGGGTTATATGTCTCCACAGACTCGAGGGCGACACCATTGTTTCTTCCACCCAGGGCATAAAGTTGTCCATCCAATGCCACCAGGGGGAAAAAGCTCCGAGCCTGGCACAAAGGAGCCATCTCCTCCCAGCCCTCTTGACTGGGGTCCCACCTGGATAGAATGGAACAAGAGATAAAAAGAGTAACTTTGAGAGTCCATGGTTGGCAGAGTCAGCAATTTCTCTTCCCCTCCCATCTTGAGGCCTCCCATCTCAGAGGCTCATACCTGAGAGTTGAAGCCAAGGTGTTGGAGTGGCTGTAGAAATCCTGTCCCCCACACACATAGAGTTCATTTCCTGCCAGGCTTGCTGCCCCATGCCGGAATCGCCCTGGGGCAGGCAGGGCAGGCAGCTGCCCCCACTCCACAGTTCGTACCAGTCCCATGCCACAGCGGAAGGCCCGGGCCCACCACACTGCTCGGGAAGGCTGCCTTAGGGCCATGTCTGGTCTGAGCCCATCCCCACCAATCACCACCAGTGCCCGGTCAGGCTCCCTCCACCTCTCCTGTCCTGGGACTTCAGCCTCCACCAGCAGCTGGTACAGCAAGTCTGGGGGCAGGGGTGGGGGTAGGCCAACTGCCCGCACCCTCCGCAGCTCCCTGGTGGACATGCGGCCAAAGCGAACACATCGCAGCAGGGCCTTGGCTTCTGACTCCTGGGTCTCAGGGTTGGCAGCTAGCCAGTGTCGTGCAGCCACAAAGGCCTCCAGCTCCTCTTGCACATGGAGCTCATCACTATCCAGCAGCTCAGCCAAGCAGGCAGCTGGTAAAGAAGGGAAAGTGGGGCACAAAGCCACAGCAGGCAGGTGTGTGAGGAGGTAGTGACGGGCCTTGCTCCAGAGCCTCTCCAACCCGGGGGCTTCAGCCATGGGGAACAGGGCCAGGCAACGGGCAGGGCTGAGGCCCCGGGCCAAGGCTCTCTGACACAAATCCAGGCAGGAAGAGCTCTGGTACTGCAGAGCAGCCTGGGCAGCTCTCAGCAGTCCTGGCCACCTTGCTCGCACAACCCCAGAGTAGGCAAACGAGACGAGGAGTCGCAGGTCCTGGCTAGAGATGGTGCGCAGAAATACCTCCGTGCCCTGGGATTCCTTCATCCCGCTCAGAAGCATAGCCCCAAAGAATTCACTACCACAGGCCAAGGCTGCTCGGTGCACTGCAGGAGCAGAGAAGAAACAGAAGAAGACTCAGAGTTTTGTAAAACAAAACTACAACCCAGCAACTTTGGGCCAACCACCCAAGGCTACAGGCCAAACTATGGTCTGCATCAGAATACCATGGGTACTTGTTGAAACCAAAATTTCAGGAGCTCTGTTCTCAAGATTCTGATTCAGTAGGTCTGGCCAGGGACCCTAGGAATTTGTATTTTAACATTTTCAAGTACCCTGCATTGTTCTCATGATAGTGGCCTGAGGACACTTGATAAATAACGCTGTAGTCTTTTTGGTCCATGCCAGTTAGAAAAAAAAAATGTGAACTGGTGAAATAGTGTTTTATGACTTTTGACTAAAACATTGCTGATTTTCTTCTAGGCTTTGTTTTCCAGTTTTAAGGATTTTTGTCCTGTCTTGAGCTGTCAATAGGTTCATGTACCTACTATTTGAACAGAATCCTAACCTGTTTCCTGGCTTTAAGTTTTAAGAAAAGTTCCTTAGCATTTCTTTGATTTATTAAAGTTAAAACTGCTTTTCTTGAAATTACCAGCTGAACCTGCTATTGAAAATAGATTATATAAGAAATTGTGTGATCGATAAAATGTGGGGGGAAAAGGAATGGAAAACAACTGTAGACACCAGAGATAGTGTGGGAGGAGAGTGGGAAAGGGCAGAGGGTCAGAAAAAGGGGTTAAAAAAAATAATATTATAACTAGAAATGTTAAATTATTGATGATAACATGCATGATTAAGCCACGATGCAGTAGGGAATTAATGCAAATTAATTAACTTTAAAAAGCTTCAGAAAAAAAAGCTCATGGAAATATGTGTAATGGGAACACTATATATGAATTTCAAAAAGTTTTTGTACCAAAATAATTTCATACTTTAATTGTAAAATAAGTAAATAAATAAATAATAAAATAAAATAAAATTGACCATAAAAAAAAGAAAAGAAAGAAAAGATGGGACCAGCAGGTGGCATGGTGGTTTAGGTGCTGGACATTCCCACATGGCTGACCATGGTTCGAGTCCCGGACCTGGTCGGTTGCTTTGTCACTTTCCCTTTCTCTCTCTCTCTCTCTTGCTTTCTCACTTTATCTCTGTCTTTCTCTCTCTCTCTCTCTCTCTCTAGTCAAATTAAAATGAATGAGTGAATAAAGTTAAATAAATCATTTTTTTAAAATGTTGGTGGATCAAGTTGAGAAGATTCTACAGATAGCATTTGCCAAAAAGGGGGGCACAAAATATACTGAAAAGATCAATGTGAAATTTATGTGGGTCTTTCTATATTGTGCATAAATAAAGTTCTTTGCTTTACAGGAGTCATGCCATCAGCCATTCTGTGAATGAGATTTTGCTGGGAAAGAGGTACCACTCAAGAAGGTTGTAACCCCACCTCATCTGATGCCATCTCCTCTTGCCCAAGACTTAGTGCTTCCAAATTCCAATGTGTCCCAGCGTTTCTCCCCATAACCCTCTCCCCATCATGAGCTCTGAATTTGAAACCTTCTAAATCAGCTTATTCACCGACTCCTTTTAAGATAAGGACACCGAGTCCTAGAGAAAGGATGTGATTTATTGTCTCTTTCCATGCAGTGGCTGTCTGAAGAGATTATCACATCCACTGACATTGATAAGAGGCTGCAGAAAGCATGTTTGGGAACCAAACCCTTAAACGTCTGCAGGACTTTCAGGCAGTGAGGGTGTCCATTAACATATGTTAGACCTCATATGCTAATTTTGAAGTACTCAGCATCATCTATTCTGGCCAAATATTTAACATAAATATAGTCAAGCCTTTAGATCTAAAGATAATTTTATAGGAATTTATAAAGGAACAAGTTAAAATGATGAAAGGAAAAAAAAAACTTGGGAAAAAAAACTTACAAATCTAGTTAAACAGAGTACTCTGTAGAATACATAAT